CAATGTGGCGAAACCCCATCTCTATGAAAAAAATACAAAAACTAGCTGGGCATGGTGGCATGTACCTGTAGTCCCAGCTACTTGAGAGGTTGAGGCAGGAGAATTGCTTGAACCCGGGAGGCGGAGGTTGTAGTGAGCCAAGATGGTGCCAGTGCAATCCAGTCTGGGCCATGGAGCAACGCTCCGTATTAAAAAAAAAAAGAAAAAGAACTCAGCCAGGCGCAGCAGCTCACACCTGTAATCCCAGCACTTTGGAAAGCTGAGGCAGGCACATCATGAGGTCAGGAGATCAAAACCATTGTGGTCAACGTGGTGAAACCCCGTCTTTACTGAAAATGCAAAAATTAGCTGGGCATGGTGGCACATGCCTGTAGTACCAGCTACTCAGGAGGCTGAGGCTGAAGAATTTCATCGAGTTGAGATTGTACCACTACACTCCAGCCTGGTGATAGAGCAAGATTCTGTCTAAAAAAAAAATACTCAAAATTTTTGCTGAATGAAACTCTTCTCTACCAAGAAGGTAAATAGTACATTAGGGCATGGAATAGAATAAACTTGTGTTCATATAGAAATAGTTTTTTTCTATACTTCTGTAATCCTTGAGACAAAAAAAGGACAGTGAACAAAAACAGAGCTTTTAGTGTAAAAATAATTTTTTTCAAGTTCAAAGACTTTTTGAAAAAGCAGAGTCTGATTATGATAGTTGTGAATTTAGCATGGGATGTTGGACCAGAGTCTCCACCCATACCAGTAGAACTGATACCGATGAAGACTGGCTGGAAAAGATATTTGGGAAATAAAAGCTACAGCTCTTTTTCAATGAAAAAACTTGACACAGTTCAAAAATAGCTTCCTAGCATTACCTAACCAGAGATGGGTTTGTTTGAAGTTAGAGTCTGAAGAAAGTGTTTGAATTTAGTTTGTAATTATCCCATTACCATTCCCTCAACTCAGAAATATACTTCATCTGCAGCTGGGAAAAATTACAAAAAAATGTAGTCAGGTTTTGATGATGACACACAAAATGTTTAAATCATCATTAATTTTACAGTTTTTATTATTAATAAAGTAACCTTATTTTTAGTCTTTAGTTTTAGTTTATGTAGGATTTTTTAAATAACACAATTTTATCTGCCAGTAATACTAAAATGATTGTTTAATATTTTTAGTTTATAAATTTATATTTTTTTACATTTTTTATGTTTCTGTTTTTTGTTCATGAGATATATTAAATATTTGGTTTTAAAATTTGTGTTTTATGAATTCATAACATTTTTAAATAAAGTTATTAGTATCAATATCTAAAGTAAACACTTTAATTTTCTTCCATTATTGAGTCTCTCTTACCAAAGATGTCTATGTCATACTTAGGATGAGCCCCCAAAATTAGAGGACTTAGCCAAATACAAAGGGGTTATGGAAAGAATATTCTAGGCAGAGTTTTTCAGATAATAAAAGACAGTGAGCTTGAGCACCTGAAAGAGAAGTTTAGTATCATTGGTTCTCCAGATTTAAGAGGGTGAAAAGTTTGAGCTGAGGCTGGAGTGATTGATGGTGACAGGTTATGAGGATCTTTGGGAAACCATGAAATTCAGGGTATAAGAACCTAAGTGTTTTAAGTTTCGTAGTAGTTGGTCAGATTTGCATTTTAGAAGGATCATCTGGCAGTGTGAATGAGTTGGATAAAAGCAAACCAGTTAGAAGACTACTGCAAACACTCAGGCAAGTGATGATAGGACAAATCAGTGGCAGTGGGATTGGGAAAAGATAGGTTTGAGAGGTGTCCAGAAACTGGAATTCACAGAGCATGATGATAGGTCTGGCATAAACAATTGGGTGAATGTGGTAGCAGTTGCTGAAATAGGGACTGGAGGCAGAGCTATAAAGTTTCTGTGGGAAGGTGCCAGCTTCACTTTTGCAGATGTTTATGGGACAAACAGTTCTAGTAGGTAAATGTAAAGATCTCAGGCTTTGGCCGGGCACGGTGGCTCAAGTCTGTAATTCCAGCACTTTGGGAGACGAAGGCGGGCAGATCTCTTGAGGTCAGGAGTTCGAGACTAGCCTGACCAACATGGTGAAACTCCATCTCTACAAAGAATATAAAAAATTAGCTGGGTGTGGTGGCACATGCCTCTAATCTCAGCTACCCCGGAGGCTGAGTCAGGAGAATTGCTTGAACCCAGGAGGTGGAGGTTGCAGTGAGCCAAGATTGCGCCACTGCACTCCAGCCTGGGCAACAGAGCAAGACTGTGTCTCAAAACAGACACACAACAACAACAAAAGACAAACAAACAAAGATCTCACACTTAGAGAAGTCTAGAGTGGACTTGTAGACTTCTGAGAGTTATCAACATTGAGGTGGCAGTTGAACTTCTGAAAGTGGGTGGAATATTCAGATAGGAAGAGGGAGGGAAACTGAGCTAGAACAGCCAGAGTGGTAGAAGGAAAATCAGAAGAAGGTGATGTCATAGGAACCAGGAAGTAAGAGTGTTTCTAGAAACATGAAGTGATCATCTATGCTAGACGTTATGGAGAGTTTGAGCCAGATAAGGACCAACAGTACCATTTGTTTTAACTTTGAGAAATTCATTGGTGACCCATGCAGTGGAATTCACATGATAATTCTGACGTGAGGAATTGAACAGCTACTTCAAGAAGTTTCCAGTGGAAGAAAGGACAGAACAGACAACTCTTTAGTTCTGACAGGTGATAAGGAGTTGAGAATCAATGTGAGTTTAAAGGTAATTAAATGATGATGGGAATTACCAAGTTTAGAAAGAGAAGTTGAAGATAAAAAGAGAGTCATTAAGGAATCTGAGTCCCTCGGAAGGAGGAATGGGCAAATGAGGGTCAGGGTGGGGCTTTGGATCATACAGAAAAGGAAGCAGCAGGCTGGATGCTGGTTAATTTGTGTGGATGGTGAGTAAGTTTGCATCTGAAATGGCTTCTTTACTTTCTTTGCGATGCAGACACATTGTCACTTGCTAAGATTAAGGAGAAGGTAGGTGAGGGTTGGTTACAGGAGAATAGAGCATGTTTGCAACATCTGCCCTGGAGAAACAGAGAGAGAGTTGACCAGGGAAAGCTTGAGGATGAGGATGAGTTGAGATTATTTATGATGAATTTATAGTGGCCCTATATCTGGGTATTTCTCCAGCCACAGAGAACTGTCATGCCACCTGCCCATTCTCAGGTATGTGGGTGTATTTGAGGAGTTCCTAGAAGTTGGTTTTTATTAGAGTCCTTGAAATTCAAGGACCAGGTAATGAATATGACTCACACTCATCTTCGATGCATCCACTGTTGTTCTATGCTGCAGTGATACAACAATATCCTCTGAGGTTATCAAAGTGTGTTAAGCTCTGTTCCTTCAGTAAATGGCCCCAGACTGATGTCTTGTTTCTCTTTAAGTTCTTGTCCGCTTTTTTATACTATTTCCGTCTCCTTCCTTTCTGTTTTCTTCCTTGTTGTCAGTTGTCCTATCACATTGCTGTCTGCATGCAAGTCTGTATCAGCCCTACACCCTGGACTTTGTCAACATCTGGAATTATCACACCTCTGAAATAAAGCTGTGAGCTTGAAGACCAGACAACCAAGCTTATTAGAATTGTGTGCAAAGTAAGAGTAAATAATCTGAGTGTGGTTCTCATGTGCTGTGCTTTGAGGATATACATAAGTGTTTGTACATGAATTTTGTGACATTTATTGGGTTATTTCTCATATATGACATATTTATTGCTTATATTCCCATTGTGTTTTTCTTCTTTTGAATTCCCATGGCTTATGATAATATTCTTAGAGAACCCTCAACATTTATGACTGTAGCTTTTGTAATTGTGCTTTAGTACCTGCAGAGTATTTTCATATGCATTACTTAAATTTTAAGCTACATGATTAGACATTTATACTGTTTTTTTCTTATTATTCTCATGGATTTTCAAATACTTATATTTTGTATGGAAATAGCATGTATTTTCAAATATGTGTGCATTTTGTGCGATGACATACTATGTCACAATTCAGTCATTTAGCCGTGTCAGATATAAATGAAACAGAATAATGTAAAAAGTAAGCATTTGGAGGTTTGAAAAATAAATTATCTCTTCTAGTTTTTCATATATTTTCATGTTTTGTGGACTTCTTCATCTGTGAACATCTTATGTATGTATCAACAGTTCAAATTTTTAAAAGACGTATATGCACGGTAAATACCACTTCAACATTTTCTATAAATTGACTTAATTTTGATCCCTGCCTTTCTTTTTGTCAAGAAGGTAAATTCAGCACCAGTCCTTTGGAGGCTTGTGCTAAGGTTTGGGGCCTTGGGCAAAAGGCCACAACATTGAAGAGAGGGCCTGGGCTTGTGAGTCACCTGGCGGCATATGTTACGTTAGCCCTGCACTGTGGGATACTGTGCTGTGGCCCAGAGCCCTGGGTCCTGCCTCCCTGGGGCACCGTGAAGCTCTTTCCTCTGAGCGCCTGCTCCACCAAACATAGGCTGCCTGGGGGCAGAGTGCCGCCCAGTGACTCGCAGCCACACACCTCTCTCTCCAATCCAGGGAAATCTTTTTTAATCTGGCGGAATCCCTTTCTTCAAAGTCTGTTCTTAATATGTTTAGAATTAAAAAAAAAAAAAAAACCGGAAGCTAAAAAGTCCTAGCACAAGCCTTCTATTAGGCGAGGAAGGGTGCACAGATGTAACCTATTTAAATAGAGGGATATTGGGAGAAAATACAAATTTATTTTGAGAAATAGTAGAATAGTAGTCTGTAGAGTAGTAAAAAACTCAACAGGCCACCTGTGTTCAATGTTATCTTCTCTGAAACTAAACCTATGTAGCCAAGTTTTTGTTTTTATAACTAATTGAACAATATTAATATTTGTTAAATGTTTACATTTTGTTGATATGATTTCTGAGTGGTGACGTTAAATACTGAGCAGAACGTAACATTTTCAAAGTATTGGATAGATTTTCTAACTTCGTTTTGTCTTATTTAAAGAACATTGGAACTATTTTGGAGCTGATGAGAATCTTGGTCCAGTGGCTGTGAGCATTCGAAGGGAAAAACCGGAAGAAATGAAAGAAAATGGATCTCCATACAACTACCGAATAATTTTTAGAACTAGTGAGGTAAGTCACAAATGAGAGAGGTTTGAGGTTTAACTGAAATGGGGGAAAAAAGGCAAATAGTAGCAGTAGCAAAGCAATTAAATTTAATAGCACATGGTTACAGATGTATTTGGAATAAGTGAAGGTCCCTTTCATTTATTCTGGTGGAGATGGAGGTGGACAAGATGGTTAGATCTGGATCCCTTCTTTTCATGGGCCTCTGAATAGATGCAATATGTGTGTGAGGAGTTTTGATTCAGAGAAAGATATGCTGTTTCAGTGTGGCCTAAGGAAATTGGAGTCCTCAGAATCTCCAGTGGGATATTGTGTATCCTGCTTAGGGCTGCTGGAAAGCACCAAGGCAACTCGAGGGCCAGAGTATTAGGGATCAGAGAAGGCCACGAAAGACTTAATTCACTGTTCCTAGCTCTTGCTGAGCGCATGTTTTCGCCCAAGAAAAAGGAGAGAAAGAGACACTTCTTCCACTTTCACTTTACTATCTTTGGGACCCATTGTCAGAGACCTAGAAGATATACTCTTTGAACCAGGGGCTAATTGTAAGTGAAACAGGCTTTTAGAGCTCTTTAGGAATCCAAATACACACAATCTATGAGTTTTTATTTTAAAACGAAGTTTGGGCTAAAAAAACACATGGAAAAATAAAAAGAACCCACGCATAAGTTTTTTAAAAAACCTATGAACAAGTCTGGGACTATGAGGTTCTTCTTTTTCTTTGTAAACTTATATAATTGGACGAGTTACCAATTTATTGCCTCTCAGCCGCTGTTTCACTTTAGGATTTTTGCTGTGCATTAATACTTAATACCCTTGAGTCATCCAGAAAATAATGGTTTTGAAACTATTTTAAATAGGGCATTTGGCTTCATTTCCCCCATTGAATGCAAAGCAAGTTTCAGGGGTTGGTATCACTTAGTAATTGTTCCTAAGCCTGAACTCCAGGGAAATTAAATATAGGACTTTTTAAAGACAAGACTTAAATATCTAATGTGTTGTTTATACTGGCCAGAGAGAAGTGAACTAACATACTCTCATGTGCTTTTTCTCCATGACAAAGCTAATCATTACATGGTGTAAATTCTTTTGTTGAGCACAGAGGCACAGAGAATATCACATTCTGTGTTTTGGAATTGTATGCAGGTAGTTGCTCCTTTCTAGCTTCCCAGATCCTACCAGTTTTTAAGTGATCCTCAGTTATCTTACTTCCAAGTATTTTTGTCTTTCCTATTCTCTTCTTCTCTTCCCAAGGCCACTCTGATTTAAACCCGCCATCAAATTCTTTCTTTTCTGTGTTGTTTCTTTATCCAGCTAAATTCATTTCCTTGCCGCTTGTTCATCCTGTCCCTCATGCCAGAGGTTAAAGGTTCCTACGATTCCTTTCTCAGTCGGATTCTGTCACTGGTTTGCGGGAGCTTCCCTTCTCAGTGTGTCTTGCAGGCTTTCCACAGCTGATCCCAGCCTCTGCGTCCTACCTTAATACCTGTCCTAAGTTCCACTCTGGTCTGTGAACCACACTGACTCTTACCTTTCCCACCTCTGTTCTCTCTGCTTTACTACCTTGACCCAAACTATTCTACTTGCTTTCTGTGATCATAAGATTCTTTCTCTCTCCAGCTAACCCATTTGAATGAGTTGTGTCTGTTGGGTCTGTTTTCTTAGCCTTTGACTAAAAACTTCAAGTGTTCAAAAAAAAAACCATTACCACTTATTTTTTACATTCAAACTAATGTTCACTTCGTGACAACTCTATTATTGCATTTTTCTCAGGCTGGAAACCATTAAAGTCACACTTTATTCCCCTCTTCTCCCTCCTGCCCCTGAGATCTGGTGTGTCAGCAGCACTTGCTCATTTTGTCTTCACAATATGCCCAGAACTCAACTACTTCTCCCACCCTCACTGCCCAGTCCTGGTCCTGGTCTTGCTCTGAGAGCTGGTCTCCCGCTTCTGTGCTGAAGCTCTGCATCCTTTTGACCCAGTGGGGTTCCTTTTGAAATGTCATTGAGATCTTGTCATTCCTTAGTTCAGAATCCTTGAAAGCCTCCTCATCTCCCTCTGAGAAACAACCACTGTCCTGCTAGCGTAGGAAACCACGCACATCTGCTTCCCAGTTATCTCTCTGTGCCTCATCCCTTGTAACTCCCCTTGGCCTGGGCTTTTCCCCACCACACTGGCCTCCTTCCTCCCTGGGCCACTTCAGGACACCTCTGCCTTGGGGCTCAGATGCCTGTCATTCCTCCCTACTGCGGTGTTCTCTGTCATGCTGCCTCATTTCCATCTAGAATTTACTCAGAAACCACAGAGGCCCTCCTTGACCGCTGAATCTAAAATTTCTACTACCTTCCCATTTCATCTCCATTTCAGTGCTTTATTTTTCACTAATACTTAACACTTTCTTCTCTGTTGTACTTAGTCATTTTGTTTGCTTTCAATCTCTTCCTCTAGAGTGCAGCCTCATGAGGGTGGGGCTTCTGTCTGAGTAGTTCAGCACAACTTGCCTGATGCCTCAGATAGTGCCTTGCCTCCCTGTTTCTCTGTTCCCTCCTTCCCTCTCACCTTTCATCCTTTCCTCCATGTCTCTCCTCCTTTTCCTCCCTTCCTTTCTTCCTTCCTCCCTCTAATGTTTATGTAATTAATCGCCACGAGTTTTTATATAATGTTTTTCTTTCTAATAAAAAAAATCCCTAAATTTGGTTTGATGGTAATATTGTATAAGGCTTTTGATAGAAATGTTTCCAAATAGTGGTCCCTGTCTGTAGCTCCTGGACTTTGAGAGATAGTTACTTCACTCTTCACTGAAGCCCTTTCACTTATTACAAATGAAAGAAGATTTAATTTGTATCAGGGACTTCTCATGTTACTAATTTCTCATGCAGATGAATAAGGCAAGAAAAAAGAAAACATTACAGTGACACTTTAGTGCCAGTAACTGGCAGCAAGATAACAGAAATACAAACAAATCTCTTTCATTTTAGTAGAAATAAACAGTGTAAAACATAAAAGAAGACATACCTTTGTAGGCATGGCAGTTTGTTTATAAGCAAAATTTTATGGCGCACTAGTGTTTTTAAGCATAGAAACACAGGACTCATGAGGACTCACTTCATTCTTGTTTCTGGAAGTCATTAACAAAAATATTAGTAATACTACTGACTGGGATGTAAAAAATGAGCCGTTCTTTTTCTCATCTGGTTTGGCTTTCATGAAGTTAGCTACTTTCTGTGGCTCAGGATGCAGTGACTCGTGTTTTTGGTCTTGGCTTCTAAATTGAGAAGACTTCTAGCCTTTGTGGTTCCCTATTTCAAGCTATATATTATCTCATGAAGAAAAGAGTCAAATAACTGAGTTAGCTATTTTCCATGATTTAAAAATGACATAAAAACTATTTGTGTCAAATTATACATTAAGTAATAGGAAAATGATTTTTACTTTTTGTTTGAAAGAAATTGTTTATCATGAAAGCGAAAAGATACTCATCAAATGAATAGACTGCAAATATTTCTACTAAGTTTTTCCTGTATTGAACATAAGATGTTATTAAGTTTTGCTTTTTCTACCCCCATCTGTCTTGACCTCACCTGTGGGCAAATGTTACAGATCAAGCTCATCCGATCTGTGGCCCGGGACAGCTTTGAATGTGGGCCAACACAAATTCATAAACTTTATTAAAACATTATGAGATTTTTTTTTAAGCTTATCAGCTATTAGTGTATTTTATATGTGGCCCAAGACAATTCTTTTTCCATTGTGGTATAGGGAAGTCAAAATATTGGACACCCCTGTTCTAGATTCTAGATTTTACTTCCCTGGTGATTCTTCCTTTGGTTCCCGTTTCCCTGCTACTCCTAAATCATGCCTGATTTGCCTGTTACCTGAAGACTGTTTAGGTCCTCCATTCTAATTATATTCTCTGCCTCCAATTGCTTCCTCTTGCAGTTTGTCTTATTTGCACTTAATTTCTGAGTATACATCGTCCCTTTATGAGCACTTCCTGAGCTGACTGGTAGGAGCCCAGTGAGGCATGTATCACTTAGTCAGCTTCAGGGTCTTCTGTGCGCCCCCAGCTCGCAGCTGCATGATCCGTTCCTCCCTGCACTCTTGTGTCCATCTACAATAATCACTCCTTCCCACTTAACTCCTTTTTTTCCCAGTCTCCATACCTTTGCTCATGTTCTTTCTTGACATTTTCTTTTTGTAGAAATTGTTCTTCTATTTCGTGGCCATTTCCTAAAATCACTCCTTTCGACGGGGCCTTTCTTTATGCCCTGAGCCATGTGATCCATTCTCTGCCTTTGGACTCTCCAAAGTATGCTTTGTTGAGTATACTTGCCCTTTTGAGATTGCATTTGTGTCTTTCTGACCTCACACCTTTATATTTGCCACTCAACGTGCACTCCACTAGCTTTTGTAGCTCCTGTTGCTAAATGGAAATATATTCAATTTGATGGGTTTTCTCTTCTTTCCTCATATAGTATTTAAATTATGTTAACAACTTTGCCATGTAGACATTTTTGGAAATTAAGTCTACTTTGGGCGTCATATCTGGTTAACTTTTCTCTGACAGATCATCATTACATAGGAAAATGTCTTTGCTTAAGGTATTAATGGAGGGTCTTTTAAGAAGGGAAGGCACTTTAAGAAATAAGAGAAAATCAAAAGTAATTTCAGCTGCTGTTGCCTTTGCTGCTGTATTGACAGTGATGATTGTCCGGTATCAGCAGCATTTGGTGACATGAATAGTTTATGCTTGTCAGCCATGCATTCTGAAGCTTAAAACTTTATCTCCCCGTTTTTATAATTCAAAGAAGTATAACATCCAAACTCTGGGTATTTATTCTTCAGACATTGCTCTGGGATTCAGCCTTCTTAATTTCCTAATTAGTATGCATAGTGACATTGTATAGCCATATAGACATGGTGATCTTTACTGATATCTTTTAAGGAAATGTTATTTTTGTTACTTCGGAAATGTATTTTTGGTTACTTTTGGTGTTTTGGTATTTAAATCCTCAGAAGTCTTGATTATGTGCTCCTTTGGACCCCCCCAGTCTTGAAAGATTGGTTTCATTTTTCATGTATTCTGTATCCTCCACCACTTTTCTCATTCTTTCTCTCTCACTGGCTTTACCCATCAAAAATCATTGCCCAGCTCTATGAGGAGCCCCACAGTCCAGGCCTGCAGTGCATGTACATGTGTTCAGGCGTCTCACATCCCAGAAGCCTCACCACAGCACTTGTCTCTCTTGTAGCTCATGACACTGAGAGGTTCAGTCCTGGAGGATGCCATTCCTTCGACAGCCAAGCACTCGACGGCCAGAGGGCTGCCTCTCAAAGAAGTGCTGGAGCACGTGGTTCCTGAGCTCAATGTCCAGTGCCTGCGATTGGCCTTCAACACGCCCAAGGTCACAGAGCAGCTCATGAAACTGGATGAACAAGGGGTGAGTTTGTCTTTCTGAGGAGAGCATTCTTGCTCACATTTCCCCCTAGGCTTCCAGAATAGAGACCTTAATATTTCTTGTTTTGATGGAGAAATTGGATATCTTTTATTGTGAAAGATGCTCTCTTTGCAATTACTTATTTTGCCTTTTCTTACTCTGAACGCTGAACAATTTCTCTTTTGATGAATTCTGTATGTCAGAATTTATAAACAGGACACTTTAAACTATGTTAAATTCTTTTATGATCTGTATATACAGTAAATTTTTCAAGTGTCTGAGAATTAATAATAGGAGCAATAATAATGTTATTTATAACAATACAGTAATAATAAATTATTATTAGTAGTGAGCATGTTTGCAAGTTCCTTCTCTAAGTGCCTTAACTATGTTATCTCATTTAATCTCCCTACCCTGTGAGAAAGGTACTATTATTATTTGCATTTTAGAGATAAGGACTCTGGGGCTTAGAGAGATTAAGTAATAAATTCAATTTCCCACAGTTAATAAGTTTTGGAACCAGGGTGCAAACAAAGCCTGCCTCAATGTCTGTGCCACTTCACCACACTGTTCTTAAAAGCTTAAGAGTTTCAAAGTCTATTAGTACCACCAAAGGTATATTCTAGCCACAATTTTTAAATATAAAAATGTAAAATTTCACATTCTGCTTAGAATAATTTGAGCATATGGGCTAATTTTATAGATAATGTATTTATATACTCTTACTTTATTTAATTCTTTCTTTTAGCATTTTAGCTATATTGCATCCTAATATTGGGAGGTAGTAGTTTTAACATTACATTTAAAAATTCCTCCAAAAATAAAATTGGTTCAGGTGTTTTATTTCTGTCTTTCATTTTTTCTCATTATGTTAATTTTTCACTGAAGGGTCCAGGTAGTAAATGTCATTTTGTGAACAAATTTGGATAGGATGTCCTTAATTAATCAAAAATTCCAATTTTATTAAAACGAATGGGAGTCCAAAAAATCAGTTTTAAGGTATATTTATTATTTTAATTCAGCCGCTGAGAATATGTAATGAAGCAATAGTTAGATATCTCATTTCTTTTCTCTTTTTTCTCTCCTCTCTTCTCCCCTTCTTTATTTTTTTTTTTTTTGGAAGACAGAGTTTCAGTCTGTTGCCCAGGCTGGAGTGCAGTGATGCGATCTCAGCTCACTGCAACCTCTGCCTCCCAGGTTCAAGCTGTTCTACTGCTTAGCCTCCCAACTAGCTGAGATTACAGGCATGCGCCACTGTGCCTGGCCAGATGTCTCTTTTCTAATCCTTGCCTTTTCTGTCCATTTTACTTTTCATAATGCACAGCTAATGTCTGTTGGACACATACATCTAAAGAATGCTGTGAGTAGTATCCTTGTTTGTAATGTGAAAATTTGAGGCACTTTGAATGCTTCAAAAGACTACTGATGTATAAACCTACCTATTCTGGAGGCTGTTTTCCAGTAAATATTCTGAACATTTATTCTGACAAAGGTGTAGAAAAACTATGATTAGGTCCAACTTTATTGATTCAGTCATTTCTATTACTGTGTTTATTAAGGAGAATAAAAACATTTAGACATAACAAAGTCATATACTTAACATTTGAAATTTCTATTAAAACATTATTTTATGTAAAGGAGGTCTTTATTGCCATTCTTTTGTTTTAACTATAGTAAATACAAAATGGATACCCTAGTTGTAGACATTATGGGGATTTCTGACACATTTTGTGTCCTCTGTTTGTGATTGCCAAGTGCCAGATCACAGATGGTGCTGATCTGTTAAGAGTAGTCCTATCCACATATGAAAGATAAGAACACTATAAAGAGTTGAACTCAAAGTTAAATTTAACTCACAAAACTGGCCATTGTTTTGAAATTATGCCCTTCCTATTCTTGGAAGTATTAAAATGTCCCTTCCTTCATAAATTATTAATCATAATATATGATAGCTGTTTTCTTTAATATGTTTACTAGGCAAAATTAAAATTTGGCAATGAGTCTCTTAAATTTTACTTTGAAAGTAAGTGCCTTAAATATGTCATCCCATTCAATAGGAGTATTACTATTAGACAGTAGTTTTTACTAGGCAGTGGAATCTAGAGGTTCAAAGCATGCTATTCCATGTGAACAGCTCTGTGTCTGGAACTAAAGAGCACTGGGGGTTGGCCTCTGTCTTTTTTATCTCCGTACACACAGCATTCAAAGCCAGGATTACACTGAGATAAGGCAGACGACATGCATACTTAGGCTTTTAGTCTTGGGAGTAATTTTTTTTGGTAGGAAATCTCATTAGTGCCTTGGAAATATTTTGAGAAACTGATTATTTTGGTGCCTTTACAAATACAGATTTTAAAAAGGAAATGCTTATAAGTGCAGTGGATTACGCATATGAATCATTGCAAAGCATTTTTAGTTTCCATCTGTGTCGTCATATTTTAAAATATCCAGCTTTGTATATCCTTATATTTAAAGAGATTCATAGTGTGATACCAGGAAACTGGACTCATCAAAAAGAGCTTTAAATCTCTTTCTACATTTGGTTTAAATGATTCCTTTAATATCTTTTCTATTTTTTATTAACTGTCTTACATAATCATGCTTTGAAAAAGAAGACACAATTTGTTTCCTATATTGTGGCATTTTGCCTTTCAACACTTTGGTGCTTTAATTCCTCGTTTTACCACTATTAAAAGCTAAAGTGAACAGAACAACAAATTAAAATTTTATCTGTAAAATAGAAAGCACTGCACAAAAATCTAGTAATTTGTTTTTTATTTAACTTGATATATTTGTGGGAGCTGAAGTAGGCATTTCAATTCCTGAAGAAATTTACTTTAGAAAATGAACTGATTCTTTGGGGCTTATCCAAGCTTTTTACATTTTCCATCCTGATGCCTTTCTGGGACTTTCACTACTTATTTTATTTTATTTTATTTTTGAGACGGACTTTTACCCTATCATCCAGGTTGGAGTGCAGTGATGCCATCTCGGCTCACTGTAACCTCCGCCTCCTAGGCTCAAGCAATTCTCCCACCTCAGCTGGGATTACCCAGGGCTGCCACCATGCCCTGCTCATTTTTGCATTTTTATTAGAAATGGGGTTTCACCATGTTGGCTAGGCTAGTCTGTAACTCCTGACCTCAAGTGATCCACCCGTTCAGCCATCCAAAGTGCTGGGAGTACAGGTATGAGCCACCGTGCCTGGCCTTTCATTACTTATTGATGTCCATGTTCATTGTTCTATAAAATGACAGTGAGAAGACAAAACTAACCTGCTAATATTTTCACACTGGTAAGAATTTAGAAGAACACTTGATGCTTTAGAAAATTTGTATTCTTATTGTCATGCATCTTGATCTTCACTTGCAGTACAGTTGGGGGCATCTCTCATGATAGAAACAAATGAGATAAATATATGCTTCATTTTACTATATTCTAATCACATTACTGGCATAGTCTGATTTAATCCTCACAGCAACCCTTTGCAATAGATTGCAGCGATTGGCCTATTAAACAGTCAAGGGGATTAAGTTGTACAGAAGTTCCCAGAGCTGTTTTTCTTACCTGTCATCCCTTAATAGTCCTGAGCACTAGATAGAAATTTGCATAATACTGCTCTTCAGTTTTAAGATTTCCAAGATCCTATTTACATATCTTAAATTACTTTGTTTTTAATTGTTTTAGAAAAATCTGTTATCTTTATTTTTTTATTTGTAAATAGAAATTCAGTGTAGAATATTGGAATATTTTGATCCTCAAAACTATGCTGTAAGTTGGGCACTATGATTCACACCTGTAATCCCAGCACTTTGGGAAGCCAGGGCAGGAAGATTGCTTGAGCCCAGGAGTTCGAGACCAGCCTGGGCGGCATAATGAGACCCCCATCTCTTAAATAAATAAATAAATAAATAATCGTAAAAACATTGCTGTGAATTATTAGGAATTTTGTCATTTAATCAAGTCAACTTTTAAATGATGTAGAAAATTCAGATACTTTTAAATTTGTCATTAGAATCATTTTTCATCAACAATCATTTTAAAATACCTATATTTCATCTACTTTATGCAAGGAGAATGAAAGATGATTATGTCAAGCCCTGGTTTAAGGCGTTCCCACATGTAAAGCTTATTACAATGCTGGGCATGTGATAAAACATTCAAGAAATAGGAACTGTTGATAATAAGATAGTAACTTGTTAGTAGTTCTTTAAATGCATTATCTCATTTAATCTTTATAAATATCCTATGAGAGAGCTTCTGTTGTAGGTGACATACTATGCTTACTTTCACAAGTAAGCGCAACTATTTCAAACCCAATAAATGCTTTGTAAGTATGACTCTGTGGGTTGTTAAATACTGTAGAGAACAAAATAGGATAGTAAGACATAGTCTTTATCCATGAAGGAGACAGGGTCATAAATTACTGTAATGGATGTCAGTTAATATAATGAATCTAATAAGAGAATTGCAAATGAAGAGCAATGGAGGTACAAGGCAGTGGTGACAAGTCATAATTGGTTAGCTGGATCAGAATGAGATGGGCCTTGGAAGGGAAGAAGGTTTCATCAGGCTAGGGAATAAGCAATTGGGTGGTCCATACTCAGAACAATAGGAACAAGGTTTGGAAGGACAGACGCACACAGTGCGTTCACGAGGCAGCAAGGAATCCTGCTGAGCAGGAGTGTGAGGCACATGTAAAGGAATAAGAAAAGTAGATGATTTCTATTGGCAGTGACTAAGCCACGTACTGTGTGAAATAGTCTCCTTGAATTAATTAATCCTCAGAATCCTTTGATACTATTATTTTTCCTGTTTTATAGATAAGAGCACTGAGACATAAAGACTAATCACAATTAGGGTCTGTGCAGGCTGGCCTTCAATCCAGGCACTTAGACTCTAGAGCCTGCATTCTTAACCAATACATCAGCCACCCTGTCCTTTCCCTCCCCATGAATGGGAGAAGAAACTGGAATTATTGCTGCCGACTTCAGTGCCCAGTA